TGCAGACATTCTACAAAATCTGTGGAGTTCCTCTTTAAAAACCCGGTGCTCAGTTAAAGGAATAGTTTTAACCTCCCTGCCAAGACATGCCTCTGCTTGCTTCTGTAGTTTTGCACTGAAGTTGTGAGGCTAACTTTTTGAGTGGACAGACATTTTCCAACAAATCAAAGCTGGATTTTTCCCTGCATAGGTCTGAATGGCAAACTTTAATGGCCAAAGTTTGTGCACCTATCTTACATAATCATGACAAGCAAACAAGCATCTGTGATTACATAGGAGCTGCTTAAGGACACCCTAGCAACCACCTGGAATATCACAGCAATCACCTAGCGACACCCTAGCAACCACCAGAGATACCTTAGGAACTGCTTAGGAACACCCTAGCAACCACCTGGAATATCACAGCAATCACCTAGCGACACCCTAGCAACCACCAGAGATACCTTAGGAACTGCTTAGGAACACCCTAGCAACCACCTGGAATACTATAGCAACTGGTTAGCAACAGCGTAGCAACCACCTGAGATATCACAGGAACTGCTTAGGAACACCCTAACAACCACCTGGAATATCACAGCCAGTTAGTAGCACCCTAGCAACCACCTGGGATAACATAGGAACTGCCTAGGAACACCCTAGCAACCATCAGAGATATTCCATCAGCCAGTTAGTAGCACCCTAGCAACCACCTGGGATAAACATAGGAACTGCCTAGGAACACCCTAGCAACCACCTGGAATAACATAGCAATTAGCTTGCAACGACCAGTGATACTATGGCAGCCTGTTAACAAAATCCTAGCATCCACCAGGAATCCCATAGCAACCATTTAGCAACAGCCTAGCGATGACCTGGCACATCACAGGAACGGCTTAAGGACACCCAGGCAACCACCTGTAATATGTAGCGGTCAGTTAATGACAGTTTGTAACTCCACAGTTAGCATTGCGCTAACGGCAGGCCTGAATTATCACATGCTGACCTCTAACTGTGTGGAGCTGTTCAGTGTCTCTGATAGACTCTGTGACACTATGACTCACTGATATCTATAAACATCTGACCTGCTCGGTTTTTGGTGACGTCAGCAGCTCCAAACATGATCCTCCGTCCTTCTGCTGTCGCCATCTAAACTCCTCGGCAGGAGGTTCCACTGAGAGGACGAGGTTGAAGTCCAGACTCTTTTATACCGTCTGTGCTGTGCTGGACGTCTGTGTTAGAAATGTCATTTTCTGATAGCCTTATCCTTCCACCGCTGCGTATCTGCTGTCCGCCCGTCTGTCCAGCGCGCGGAGGGCTGAAAGACGAGCTTCCCTCTTTTATCTCCATTCACACACTGTTGGGGGAATAATCTGGAGTTTGCCTTAATCTGGGATTAGGACCCTGTGGAGGTTGGAGGAAGTCTCAGACACCTACACTGCCTGTGAAAAGTTTAGGGGACACCTCACCTTCTTTTGAAATTTAAATAAACACTCTTAACTTTCAGTTAATATATTAAAATACTAGTACATACTCTGTGCTGAGCTTACTGGATACTAAAAATGACTTTATGGATTGATTTTCATTTCCATTTTGATTTTGGAAATAATTACATACACAAGCATCAAATTCTCTTTGAAGTTTGTCCTTGAAACATTACAAAAAGTTAAGCATAAGCCTTTCAGAATGTCTTTAATATTACGGAAAACTATCCACCGTTTGACAGACCCTGTCTGCGAGATAAAAAGAAAGGGGCTTATTAAAGAAATGACTTTGCTGTTTTGATTTAGATTTCAATTTATTGCCAATTACCACCTTGGTGGTTAGGATTTTTTCTCACTGTTATCTCATTTCTTTGATGTTGTTGTGTTACCATAGAAACTCAACATCATCAGTGAATCGAGATAACAGATACAACACAAAAGTCATAAAACTCATGAATTGTTACCTTATAAACAATAAAAAGGACACCATAAAAATAATATGAAATTTACAGCTGCACTATGTCAGTTTTGGGGATTTGGAGACCTCTCTGGTGAAAAAGTAGAATTGCACACAACGTGTGGAAGAGCATTCTGTAAAGCCGGTGTAGACTGAGCAGTTTTAGCCCGTTTTTAAGCCTGATTTGCTCAGAGCCGACTAAAATTCAGCTTCATCGGCCGTCGTTTGTTGTGAAGTGTGAGAGGGGGGAACGTTGCCCGATTAACTGCCCAAACGAGCTCCGATTGAGCAGTCGGACGATCAGATTGATTTCTGACGTCACAAATTTTGTCCACATCCGTGTCACCTGCGTCCGTATGTGCTGACTTTGCTCCGTCTGACTGAGGTGAACCGCGAGGTATAAATACAGAGTTTTTGTCTGTGTAGAGCTGAATGTAAACCGCCTGCTCTTCAGCTTCAGTGCACAGTGTGGCACAAGTTAGCAAAGCTGGTGTAGCGGTTCGTCAATGACTGAATCTAAAACGGCCCCCTCTTTCCTATGTAGCGTACTATACTGCTACTGTAGTTCTGGCTTCTGCACCAAAATAGTGCCCTGTTTGTCCAGTATGGAGCTGTGCACACACGGCTGAATCCTAAAAGGCTATTTATTAGACATATGATGCACTGTATGAGTGCAGGAGCCACTATATGTGGTGCACTACGCAGGGAGCAGGGAGCCATTTGAGATTCAGCCAATGTTTTTGATCAGGACTCGGAGGCACAGCATGTTGTTTTGAATGAAACAGCTTTTTTGGAAATTGTAGACTGAGCACCCATGTAGGACTGGGTGTGTTTGTACAGTGTAAGTATATATAAATCACAGGCTTTGGCTGAACATGATGGGCGATTCAAACGTGCAGTTGTGACCAAAGAACAATATTTCTAAAATCACACAGTGCATGTCTGGCTTAACATGGGTTGTGCTTCAGACCCCTTCCCAGAGTGGATGAGTCTGATGATTAAGGGAGAATTCATAGAGAGCTCAGTCTAAACTCGGTGAAGGAGCGTCTCTGAGGATGTGAGTGAATTATCTACTGTCATCACATCTTCATCAGTATGATGCTGATTTCGAGATCGTTTGAGACATAAACAACGAGCCAGACCTTCTTTTTGAGCCCATGCGTGTGACGTGGTCTGAAAAACTCCTGACTTGACGCCTCTGACTTTTAAATGATTATTTCAGGCTTTGCAGGGCGACTCACAGCAGCGCTGCTCACCATAATTTAGCCTGCTTTTATTCTCCTCACTCAGTAATGACGCTGCTTTCGTTTTTTTACCGAAAATCTTACAACCTTCTCAGTCTTGACAGTGATTGTATTAAAATCCGAGTTAAAGTCTGTACAGTATAGGAGGAAGGAACTGCTAAATGTTGCAGCGTCATACATCAGACCCATTTTGTCCTGTGTGCAAAATGAAGGGTGGTCTCTGACTTTTGCACAATGCTGGTACCACCCATGTTATACTATTATTGTAATTACAATTTAATAGTGTAGAAATATGATGATAGTTTAGACCTCTAAGAGTTAAAACAATGTTCAGCAAAGAAAAGTAAGAGTCGACGATGGTGTTACTTCCACCAAACAACTAAACGAATGTGCTGCGTGTTGGTGACATGAGTTATAGGGTCAGGTATGATGGTGAATAGTGTGCTCTCGCGCTCTCTCTCTCTCTCTCTCTCCCTCTCTCTCTCTCCCTCTCTCTCTCTCTCTCTCTCTCTCTCTCTCTCTCTGAATATTTGCTCTGAATGTGAATTTGTAGTGGGAGTCCAGTCATTAGGCGGCTCTAATGAAGGCAGGCTTTGTCAGATGATTGAATTTCTGATGAAGGCCAGGCAGATAGCCATCCTGTGTTTGCTCGAGCCACACAATTACAGCACGTCTGGGAGAGACTGAGCTCCACATACTCTGAGTGTCTGTGCATGTAGAGGTTTTATTTTGCACCTTAAAAAATTACTTTACCTACTTTTAAAATGTAAAACATTCTCACTGTCACTTTCCAAGCAGTAAAAATGATCCATAAAGATTTTATTGTGAAGCTGCTATGTGCTACAGTACTGTGCAGTTTGTTCAGTTTCCAGTCAAAACTGCCTTTATGTACATATACGAATATATCTGTCAGTCTGATATATATATATATATATATATATATATATATATATATATATATCTGTGTGTGTGTGTGTGTGTGTGAATGATTTATGAATCAGCTTCTCTATCTGTCAGTCTGATGGACGAGTCTGGGTTTGGCGAATGCCAGGAGAACGTTACCTGCCTGACTGCACTGTGCCAGCTGTAGAGTTTGGTGGAGGAGGGATGATGATATGGGGCTGTTTTTCAGGGGTTGATCTAGAACCCTTAGTTCCAGTGAAGGGGAATCTTAATACTTCAGCTCCAAGACATTTTGGACAACTGAACACTTCCAACTTTGTGGGACAGTTTGGTGAAGAACCTTTCCTGTTCCAGCATGACTGAGCCCCAGTGCACAAAGCAGCTCCATAAAGACCTGACTGGGTGAGTTTGGTGTGGAAGAACTTGACTGGCCCTCACAGAGCCCTGACCTCAACCCCATCACACACCTTTGGGGTGAACTAGAACGGAGATTGTGAGCCAGACCCTCTCTGCTCCAACATCAGTGTCTGACCTCACAGATGCTCTTCTGGATGAATGAACACAAATTCCCACAGACTCTCCAACATCTTGTAGAAGCTTCCCAGAAGAGTGGAAGCTGTTAGAGCTGCAAAGGGGGACCAACTCCATATTAATGCCTCTGGATTTAGAACGGGATTCATAAAAGCTCCTGTAGGTGTGATGAGTAGGTGTCCCAATATATATATATATATCTATATATATATATATATATATATATATATATATATATTATATATATATATATTTATATATATTTATATATAAATTCACACAGTTGAGTTGAAGCAGTACTGTAGTGCTGTGAGGTAAGGAAGCTGCTGGTTAAAGAGGCGACTCTGCCCTGTACAGGTCTTTATTTTGCACATACACACTGGTGAACATTTAAAGCGCCGTGCCTTTAACCTGCACTAACCACTGAAACTCTATTTGGCTCGCACTCAGCACTTTTGGCAGGATGTGAGCGACATCCTAAAGACAGCCCATCTGCTTACACAACTTAACGCATCAAACGCAAAAATCTAATGACTCATCCCTCCTCTTACAGTGGGACAGAAATAGAGGATATAAAGTTCATTTCATCTCCAGAAAGCCAGGGAGATTCCTCATGTGTGAAGTTGGACGTGCCTTTTCAGACAAACTGGAAACTGGAGCACAGGCAGTAGTGTATATCTGAGGGTTTTAACCAGCTGTCTGAGATACACACAACCACTTTTTAATTTGGATTAGGTGCAGTGGAGGTGAGTAGATTTTGGCTTTTTGAATTATTGATGACTGTGCAGGCTTTTAGGCTCTGTATACACAATTTGAGTTTTTCAGATAAATTGAAATTATGCTGTGTTTGCAAAGGCAATATTGACGCGAAGTGTGGCGATCTGGCAAAAAATAACATCATGATGCTTGATACTTTATCAAAACACTATGTATCATAGTATAGTAAGTTTGCAAAAATAAAGTTAAAATAATATCACTGACATCCAAACAGCTGCTGTTATTATGTAGTGCATTCAGTTATTTTACACTAAAGGTTGTTGTTGTTGTTGTTGTTGTTTACAGGCTCCCTATAATTTATCTAAATCTCTGTTTTATTATCAGTGGAGTTGTTCAGTGTTCTATAAGTACTGGATACCCATCATATACTCAGAAAAGTGCATCATGATGTAATTTGCCATAATGATGATAGCATATTATTAAGTTGCCCACCCCACACTGATGGAAAACAGGTACTAAACCTTGTTGAACACAAATGTACCTGTACAACGATTTGATATACCCTTAAAAACACAAAGATAGTCTTAGGGTCCAGTTTTGTACCTTAAATACGTTTTTTTCCCAAGGGAAAGGTACACATCACTGCTGTCAGAACAAAACCTGGTATCTCAATTCTTTTGTCATTTTTCAGGTTTTGACATAATTTGAAAAAACCCCTTGTCCTTTACAATGTTTGTAAATTTGATGATGAGTGGACCAAAAGAAATTGTCCAAAAAGACTTGGAAAAATGTCTGGTTCCATTGACTTATATTAAAAGTAGAGCATGTTTGTTCCCTCTCCTGTAAAGTTCTCATTTTGGAGATTTATACACTTTAAACTGTTTTTATAACAGTTCGATTTGAAAGGTAAATTAAAAGCGTAGAGTCATAACACAAAGGGTGTATGGAGCCAATATGACTTAAAAAATGTAAAAAGTATGTGATTGAAATATGATACAGTTATGTGTCCTAATGAAGACACACCCGTGAGGACGTACTTGTGTTGAGACTTTCATTAATGTTTTTTAAATACCTGTATACCTCCCACCTCTACTGTACAGCTTAGCAGTCTCCTCTGAGCGTATTGAGGCTTTCAGTAATGCTCAGAAGTGTGGACTGTATGGACTGGGGAGTGAATGGTACTGTGCTACGTCGAACTCCAGCATTTCAGGAATGTACTTTAAGTATTGTACCTGATTTCATGAAGTCTCTCCTCCTTACAGGTGTAGCTCCTGTTCCTGAGGCTATGTAGTAAAGTCAACACTGTGAGTTCCCTCCTCACCCTCATGGATGAAGGTCCAGACCTACAGCGCCACCTTCTCCGTCCGGCCCTGTCCTCGCCCCACCCCCTGCCTCTCAGGCTCTGAGGGCAGCCTGCCTCGAACTTGGGGCTTGCCTGGAGGGGCCATGGCCCACCTGCACTACAAATACAGCCTGCTCAGCTCAGCAGCTGAGGAGTACCGCAAGAGGCCGCTGCCATTGCAGGTATTTGAGATTATTAGAGTGCAAATAAAAAAGGTGCTTGGCAATAGTAACAAAACAGAAATACCACATAATATTATAAATAATGACATAAATGATCAGAGTTATGAAAGTGCTGGAAAAGTCTTGGAATAGAGAAATTTAGTTTTCTAGGCCTGGAAATGTTAGAGAAAAAGTTATGGAACTCCCTGGAGCTGTTCTTTCATTCTTTCGTTTTACAGTTTCACAAACTAATTATAAAATCATATAACAAACAAACAACAATGGAATAAATGGTTGTATTTTTCTGATCCAAATAAAAAAAAAAATCTATCAGACTGGAAATAGACATGCAGAGTCTCGCAGTAAGCGTTAAATTTAATGTGTGGAAGGCGCTGGTTGTTGGTGCCGCACTCAGAAGACTGAATTTGAAATGAAAATCGAATGATCAGAATATACACGGACCGTTATAGCAGTGTGTAATAAAACTTTGGCTTGTTAAGGCGTTAATATTTAAACATATTAGAAGTTGTCTGCTATAAATCATATTTTGATTGTTATCCTGATGTTTCTGCAATAAACATTGTTTATGGCTGTGATGACAGAACGGATCAAATTACCTCACCATGCAGCACCAAAATGACCAAAACTAGACTAGAAGGATGGAGAACAAATAACCAGTAATAGGAAAATTCCTCATTCTGCTAAAAATGCTTACAGTGTGGCTGCTAGTCTCGCTTTCAGGGCTGTGTCTAAAATGTATAGTCTTTATGGTGAAATGTATGAAGCTGAATGATTTGGGGAAAATATCTAATTGTGATTTTTCAGACTTGTGACTGCGATTTGAATTGCAATTATTTTCTTAAACCAGTGTTCGGGCTGTTTTTTTGGCAAGAAGACCAGAATATCCAGTTTGCTCTCTTGTGCCTTGAACCCTGAATGTAGTGTGCCAGACTGCCTATTAGTTATAGCTATGATGTCACAACACATGGAGGTTTGGTTGGATCTGATTGGTCTAACTCATCTACAGGCAGTTCACAAGCTTTGTGTTATTATATAAATTTTTCCTTCTTAAAACTTAAAACAAGGTTGTTAAGAATATAAACTATAATTTAAAAAAAAAATGCAGTTTATATATAAAAACGATTAATCTTTCAGCCCTAGTATTGACAGTTGTTACAACAAACGTGCATCATCATCATCATCATCATCATCACCATCATCATTTAAGTGAAATATGAATTTATTTGTTTTTATAGGCCTTTTATAGTAAAACAAAAATGTGCCTATTTAATAAAAGGTTTAGAGCCTGACCACAAATATGAATAGAATAGAATACTGTTTTTAGGCTAAAGCACCTCATGGAACTCGTTTCACAAGCTACAAATTCTCCACCATATTTTAATAATAATTTAGTGTTTCTGAATTTGTCATTGTGATATCCAGCAGCTTTATCCTCCATCATAATTCATGTGCCTATCATGTAGTCCTGCCAAAGCTGGTCCACCAGGCTGGGGTTTTCACCGTTTGTACTTCTTTGCCGTGACACCCTGAACTCAGCTCAGCTCAGAAACACCCACTAATGACTACCACTGTCTGAGTCGAGGAGTGCAAACACATAAGAGTGATGCAGTGTAAAACGTGCAAATTGGGTAAAAAAAACTCAAAAAAAAAACTATAGCAGTCAATAGAGTGCAGTTAGGAGAGGGGGTCTCAGATGGCTGTTCCTGCAGCAGCTACTGTATATACACACGTATCCTACAAGGAGGTATAAACCCACACAGCCCCCACCGGTGCAGTTTAATGCTTCTACTTAGATCAGCACAAAGGCCAAAGAACAATGATCCAAATCATTATAACAAAGTCTTAGTAACGCATACAGACAGCCAATTACTCCACGTTTGACATGACAATGGCTTCCACATTACAGCCGCTATACAATCATATAAGTCAGCACGATTCCATTATTAAACAAAGGGTCTCCAGACAGCAAGGATGCCTGTTACAGCATCAATTAGGCCACTTGGGAGCCCATTTGTGGTCTTTAAAGTTTCATATGTGACACCATCAAAACCACTGACCTTGCTGTTTGGTAATTTGCCACCACAACAGTAAAGTTCAAAGTTGTTGGCTGATAATAAGGGAGATTTAGCTTGAGTGTGTCTTGCCAAGCAGGCGGTGCCAGAACAGACTGCACTGGCGCGGTGGATTGACACTGAGGTGAATAAATCTGACAGACTTTATTGACCTCAGTGACCCTGACTGCAAGTTTGAAATAATTGCTATTGCTGAGGATCATCTCAGTGACTTTGTTACTTATGCTGCCATAAACATGCCTGGCTTGCCTGTTTCTAAGAGTGGCTGTGTCTCAGTCCAGTCTCTGTCCAGAGTTAACAATAGTTTGGAAAAGAAAAATGTGAAATTATTTATCTGTTTATTTATTTATTAAAACTGCTCTTCATACTAAGGAAGACAGTGTTAAAGATGAATATTAATAAGCATGATGGTCAGCAAAATCATCTTATATCTAGTCAATGTGTCTTTTTTTCTCATTTTAAGACTGTTGTAAGAATATTTTAAGATTTAGTAGAAAGGAAAAGTTTGTGAATGAATTTTATTTATAGCTTATTTTATAACTTAATTTGATTTAGATAGGCCAAATGATTTCAGGTGGTTGCTATGGTGTTGCTAGAAGGTTTCTAAGGTGTTACTAGGCCATAGGTATGCTATCACAGGTGATTGCTAAGGTGTTGCTAAGCCATTGCTATGCTATCCCAGCTGGTTGCTAAGGTGTTGATAGGCTGTTGCTGTGCTTTGCCAGGTGGTTGCCAAGGTGTTGATAGGCCGTTGCTGTGCTATCCCAGGTGGTGGCTAAAGTGCTGTTATGCAACTAATGTGCTATCCCAAGTGGTTGCTAAGGTGTTGCTAGGCCATTGCTATGCTATCCCAGCTGGTTGCTAAGGTGTCGATAGGCCGTTGCTGTACTTTGCCAGGTGGTTGCCAAGGTGTTGATAGGCCATTGCTGTGCTATCCCAAGTGGTTGCTAAGGTGTTGCTAGGCCATTGCTATGCCATCCCAGCTGGTTGCTAAGGTGTCGATACGCTGTTGCTGTGCTATCCCAGGTGGTTGCCAAGGTCTTGATAGGCCATTGCTGTGCTATCCCAGGTGGTTGCTAAGGTGTCGATACGCTGTTGCTATACTTTGCCAGGTGGTTGCTAAGGTGTTGATAGGCTGTTGCTGTGCTTTGCCAGGTGGTTGCTAAGGTGTTGATAGGCCATTGCTGTGCTATCCCAGGTGGTTGCTAAGGTGTCAATACGCTGTTGCTGTACTTTGCCAGGTGGTTGCCAAGGTGTTGATAGGCCATTGCTGTGCTATCTCAGGTGGTTGCTAAGGTGTCGATACGCTTTTGCTGTACTTTGCCAGGTGGTTGCTAAGGTGTTGATAGGCTGTTGCTGTGCTTTGCCAGGTGGTTGCCAAGGTGTTGCTAGGCCATTGCTATGCTATCCCAGATGGTTGCTAAGGTACATATTTTACTTGTATTATCTAGTAAAAGTGTATTGTTCCAGTGGCAGACAGCTTTACTTGTTTCAAGCATTGTTTCTTGAAAGAAGCAAAATGGTCTGTATTTTTTATGAAATAAGCTAAATTATTTGCCAGTGAATGAAAACACTTTCACTAGATAAAATTTAAAACAGGTAAACATCTAGAAAGAAGTAGAATAATCTTATTATATCCTTACAAAATCTAATAATTAGAAATATTATTTAGACTAGATGCAAGATGATGTTCTTTGCCAAGATGATATTGTTTTGCTGTGTAATTACAAAATGTCACAAAATGAAATCAGTGAAATGAGTTAATACTGTATCCCCTCTCTCAGCTGGACTATGCCCCATTGGGTGTGTTTGCTGTTCTGGAGGTACAGAGGGAACTGCAGCGCCCCTGGACTCCGATGTCCTGCCTCCGCCGGCCCAAACTCTACGGCTTCATCTTCGGCCTCACCGTCATCTTCCTCATCATGGCCTCTTACGTGCTGAGCAGCGAGAGGAAAGGGCTGTTACTCACTCCGTCTCCGTACCACGCCGACTCCTCCCTGAACCTCGGCACCCTCCCCTTCAACTTCTCCTCCAATAAAGACCGCAGTCACATCACGCAGGTGCTGCGCCAGATCCTGTCCAAAGTGGAGTTCAGTCCCAGGAAGGTCCCAGACCTGAGGATGCTGGTCCACAGTGAACCACACGTGAGTATGCTGTCTTAAAGGGGAATTCCACTGATTTTTTCCCATTTTTTAGATAATTCAGTCTTTGAAGTCACTCAGAGTGGTTTGATGTGAAATGGTTCATTGTAGAGAAAATTATAAACTCTATTTTTACAGTGGTGGTGATAGGAACCAGACGTCTAAAGGATTTAATGCCTCTTAAAGCTCTAAAAGTGATGCCTACAACACAAATATAGACATTTATTTACTATGCAAAACCACCAGTGAACCTACACGAGTCTTTAGTAATGATGATGATGAGAAAACAGTGACAAATCTAAAGAACTAAATTCTTTGGGGACTTTTTTGCCTAACAACGCCCTGCATGTACCTCTCCACCATTAATGATTTAAAAAAATGTTTTAGGCCAAAACATTAATCTAAAACTATCATAAAATAAAGGCAGTATATTCATAACAATTTCATCTGATAACTTTCTGTGATAACATTCCACCACCCTGAGCTTCAGTACAGAGAGGATGCTTATTTCCTGTGGTTCTTGAGGGATAGCAAGGGGCTGAACAAGCACCTGAGTGGCCTCCCTAGTGAGAAAGGGTCAGGGGCTGCTCCTTCAGATGTTTGTATTGAAAACTACAGAACTGATTCAGGTTTGCAACGTGATGAGAACGATAGCGGTCATCCAAGACTGTTCCAAAGCTTTGCACACTTTCTTAGAGTTCTCAAAGGAGTTGACAACATTGCTGTGAGACTATGTATTTCAGGTGATGCATTGCTGGGATTCTTGCTGAAATATCTGCCAGGCGTGCCGAGCAGATACAAGTAGAAAGGTGGAAAGGAGAGGATGAGTTGAGTGTCATCAGCGGAGTGGTGAAAGGAGAAGATGTTGCATTGCCAAGAGAGCAATTATAGAGGGAGAAGAGAAGTGGCCCAAGCTTTGAGCCTTGTGGGACACCGGTGAAGAGTCTGCATGGAGCTGATGTGGACCCTCTTCATGTCACCTGAAAGCCCAGCCTTTCCAGGAGGGACACAACCACTGCCATCCTCAGCCAGTGACTGTGGCTTTGACTGTGCCAAAGGCTGCTGAGCTGATTATAGGAAGTAAAGGAGAGACCAGGTAGACAGTAACTCTAAGGTGACTGAAAGGTGTGTACAGTTCATAAGGGGCACAGCACAGTGGAGGCCTGCTGTAAAATGAAGGCCTAATTAGACGGAGAGGTTTTAATCAGATTCTACAGGTCGTCCATCACCCTCCTCCATATATCTATTAGGATTAGGTTGATAAAGTACACTTCAGGACCCCGGCTGGTCAGACCACTCCAGCTCCAGCAGTGCTTTACAATGATTACTTTATTTCTTAACATCTGTGTGTTCGTCTGGCTCTGTCAGCTGCGGTGTGGTGAATGATTGCATGCCTGTTGAAAAATGTGCCGCTCTGCTGATTTCCTCTGAGTGACTCAGGCTTTCAGGCCACCTGGGCGTCCGTTTAATGTTCTGCATTATTCACAGACGTAACCCTGTTTAACTGACCCCTCACTGCTTTTTAAGCAGCCATTAAATCAGCCAGCAAAGGCTGGAGATCCATTAGTACCAGATTTTCCCGGGTCGTGTCATTGAGATGCAGCCTAATTAATTCTTTTCTTCTCTTCTTTTTCTTTGTCTCTTCTCTTCTCCTCTCTTCTATTCTCTTCTCTTCTTTCTTTTTCTTTGTCTTTGCCTCTTCTCCCTTCTTTTCTTCTCTTCGTTTTCTGTCCTTCTCTTCTCTTCTCTTCTCTTCTCTTCTTATTTTTCTCTTCGTCCTTCTCTTCTCTTCTCTTCGTCCTTCTCTTCTCTTCTCTTCTCTTCTCTTCTCTTCTCTTCTCTTCTTTTCGCCTCTTTCTTCCTCTTTCTTTTCTTTCTTCTCTTCGTTTTCTGTCCTTCTGTTCTCTTCTCTTCTCTTCTCTTTTCTTCTCTTTTTCTTTGTCTTTCTCTTCTCTTCTCTTTTCTTCTCTTTTTCTTTGTCTTTCTCTTCTCTTCTCTTCTCTTCTTTTCTCTTCTCTCTCTCTCCTTCTCTTCTCTTTATCTTTGCTTCTACTTCTCTTCTCTTCCTTCTCTTTCTGTCTTTCTCTTCTCTTCTTTGTCTTTGTCTCTTCTCTTCTCTTTGTCTTTTCTCTGTCTCTCTTCTCTTCTCTTATTTTTCTTTGCGTCTTCTCTTCTCTTTTCTTCTCTTCTCTTCTTATCTTTTTCTCTTTGTCTTGTCTTTCTCTTCTCTTCTCTTCTTATTTTTCTTTTCTTCTCCCTTTTTCTCTTCTCCTCTTCTCTTCTCTTGTCTTCTCTTCTTTTTTCTGTATCTTTGCCTCTTCTCCCTTCTTTTCTGCTATTCTTTTTCTTTGTCTTTCTCTTCTCTTCTTTTTCTTTGTCTTTGTCTATTCTCTGTTCTTCTCTTCTCTTTTTCTGTTATTTTTTTCTGCATCTCTCTTGCTTTTTCTTCTTCTCCTCTCCCTCTTCTAATCCTCTTTTCCTCTCCTCTCCTCTCCTCTCCTCTCCTCTCCTCTCCGTTATCTTGTTAATTTCATTGTAAAGGACGTGTGCGGTGGCCGTCCTCATCACTTTTAATTTCCAATTGAGCTGGCTGATGAAGGAGGAAATGGCTTTCAGTGTAATCAATATGTCATTGGAGCATAAGGCTGGATTAATTGGCTCTGCTCTAATCAGAGTGAGCTGCTGAAGCGTGTCTGTGACTCAGACAACACAAGCTGGAGGGGCTTTATATTGGAGACTGGCTGTTCTCTCAGATGCTGGGGGGAAAACTGGCTTTAATATCTGTGAATCACTCACACATTCAATACGGCCTCGAATCCTTCAGATGAGAAAGGGTTTCATTTATAGCAGGGGTGCCCAAACTTTTTGCCTTGGGGGGCCAAATTGCAGTGTGTATGGTGGGTCACGTGCTAAAATGACTGAACAGTGTGAAGTAGGTTGTTTTCAAATAGTTTAAAAGTGTATTTTCTAACATTTGCTCCATATTTCATTGCCAAAGTAATTCAAAAATACAAACTTTATAAGAAATAAAAGTTGAATGAGTTATGTACAGTATACAGATATGTTTGTACTCTCTTTGAATGGTGAGCCAAATCAAACATCCTCACAGGTCACATTTGTGTAGGAAATGGCCGCCAGTGCCGCAGTCTTCACTGCCATTCTCTACCCAGGATCCTGATATTGCTGAATATCTAATTATCTTCTTTCTCGCCCCGCAGATGTTCTCTGTGATTCCGCGCCACTTCCTGCCAGATGTGAAGAACCCCTGCTGGTACGAGCAGCTGTCGGGGAATGTCAGTGCTGACCCATATCGGAGGAACCTGTACTCTCTCTACTCCAGACAGTCCAGAGCTACGTTTCAGTACCTGCGGAGCTCCTTTAGGAAACACCTGCTCTTCCGGGACGGGAAGTTTTTCCGGATTCGCTGCCTGCCCTACTTCTATATCATTGGCCAGCCCAAGTGTGGCACCACGGACCTTTATGACCGACTCCGGCTGCACCCGGACGTCCGAGTCACTGCACTGAAGGAGCCACACTGGTGGACACGCAAGAGATTTGGTGAGGATTAATTTCTGCTGTATTAGTTCATTTTAAACCCTAAAATCCCAGACGCTTATAATTCACTGACTACAGGGACTTCACTGCAAACTGGCTGAGCTGTTCTGAGGTTATTGAAGCGGGTAATAAAACTTCGGGCTGGTGGGTCTGAACATTTAAGAGGTTAAATTATGAGCTGGTTTTACAGGAGAGATTCAGTGGGTTTGGGGATTTAGGTTTAATGTCGCCTCCTTAAACATTTTAGCCCAAAATGTTCCAAAATGGCTTTTGGCCACAAACAAAACATTGAATAGGCTTGCAATGAAGTGTCAAACTAATGAAGGACAGTTAACATCCACAGTTTAGCTCTTTATCCATTCTATCATGAAACAGACTGCATATTTAGGACCCTGTATCAGTGTCACAGAACCCCTGCTTGTGTGTGGCATCATCTGCTTCTGTATGCAAAGCATCTCGTCCTCAGAATCACATCGTCCTCCCATAAAATCTCCTTTGGAAAATAAATTACTTAAGACGTTTCTCTAATTTAACCTGGGTTGGTATTTTTTTTTAACAGGCTACAGAAACCAGATTAATTTAGTCCATGTATCCAGTTTGTGTTTGAAACTCAGGGGCTCAGACTCAAACTCAGTAATGCAGCTTTAAAATTATGCATTTTAATCATGTTAAATTACAAATTCTACTTACGAGAGGAAGGTAAAGCTGTGGGCCTTCCTGCAGGGGATCTTATCACAGTCTGGCTTTATAGAATGGGCTGCCTTACCTTGAGGAGGAGGCGGTGCCAGAATCAGCTGTACAGGCGCTCTGGAGTAACACTTGGGTGAATAAGACTGACAGAACAGTGCTGGCTGCTCCACACAAAGCACAGCTGTTCCTCAGTCCAGTCGGCCAGAATGCACTGTACACGGTAACTTCTGAGGAGGTGGCCTCTTCTTTAGCACTTAGGGCTATATTTCAAAAGTGACCATCCATAAAAATCCTCTGTTTACATAGTTTATCGAAAAATAAAAAGCCATTTTTGAAGTAGATAATAGACGGGGTCTGTGAGTGTTACAGGTGTTTACAGGTGTTTTCCCAGGCAAAGCTTTGTCAAGCTTTAAACATGAAGGCTTTTTCACCAGCTAATAAGCCATCCATCATCAAAGTAGGGTGGGGCATCATTCAAAATGTTTTTATACTGATGCTTTTACTTCCATACCGATTCCTGAACAAGCAAAGTGGGTGTGGCTGAAAGCATTTACACTACAAAAAAAGGTATGTTGGCAAATGAAATTATCTTAAATCTAGTCAATATATCTAATATTGTTCATGGTGAGATTATTATAGCCTTATTATTAAATTATTGAACTCATTTATAGAGACTTTGTACTTGTTCTAAGTGAATTTAGTGAGTCAAATTATCTCACTACATTGGCTGATAATTTAGCTTGGTGTAAGAAAAATATACTTGAAACAGGCCAAATTATCTGCCAATATAGTGAGACCATTTGGCTTACTAAAATCACTTAAAACAAGTAAAAAATAATAATAGATTATAATAAGGCTACAGCATTCTCAACAGGAGAAATACTATGTATATTGACTAGAATTAAAATAATTTCACTTGCTAAGATCCTTTTTTGCACTGTGCTGAACGCAGATTACAGACTAATGATGGAAACACTGACATTAATGAAATTTAATGATGCGCTTGTGGGATGAGATTCAGAGTGGATTGTTGAACATGCATGCTTATCAGCTCACTGACACTGTTTAGACTGACTACTAATATTTGAATGACAAAGAACCGTTCATGTGCTCGAAAGGTTCTGTGTGTTGTCATGGTTCTATATGTAACAACTGTTTCTAACAAAGAACCCTTAAAGAACCACTTTTTAAGAATGAAAAATGTACCTGCACAGAACCTGTATTACTAACAGTGTATCAGAATGATGTGAACCGAATTCGAAACATTAACCTAAGACTTAGTAGTCAGTCTAAACAGTGTCAGTGAGCCTATTACTACTATTACTACTACTACTACTACTACTACTACTACTACTATTACTACTACTACTACTACTACTATTACTACTACTACTACTACTACTACTATTAATATTAGTAGTATAATAATTGTGTAGGTAGTTTGACCAGAGGAGGATGGGTCCCCCCATGTGAGCCTTGGTTCCTCCCAAGGTTTCTTCCTCAGCTCTGAGGGAGTTTTTCCTGACTCGCTCACCTGGAGGATTTACATTTCATGTTAAAACTTTGTCCTTAATGGATTTCTGTGAAGCTGCTTTGTGACAACATCAGTTGTAAAAAGCGCTATACAAATAAATTTGACTTGACTTGACTTCCTCAAAACAGTAAGCTTAAAGATTTCTTCCCCTTTTCTCCTTATTTCGCTCCCCTTTCAGTTTTCTGTCGACATTAGAGAATTAATGGTTGTTTATTCTGCTTAAATGAAGTGCTTGTGATTTTTTTTTTTTTTGTAAATTGTGTGAGTTGGCGATGTGTGAAACAACAGTGTGAAATGGGGTAGTTTTGTATTAGAGACTCTGTGGGACTAACGATGCGTTTAAACTGTCCCCAGCTTTTTAAATCTCCCTCTCGGCTGGTGAATTGAGCTCGACTCTGTGGGAGCTCTAGAACAGATCAGATCCAATCAGAATCCAATCTACATCCAGACGAGTTTCAGACTCTGATGCCTCATAGATCAGTACATTACTGCGGACACTTTCTGTCCACCACTCCTCCAAGTTTTTGATGTTTAGTGTTTTTACCTTCTCTCTGTCTCTAAACTCTCCCCTTGTCCTTCTTCTCTCAGTTCAGCCACATGCTCTCCTCCTTTCCATCTGAACTATCTCGTCTGGCACACACTGTGGCCTCTTTTCCGCAGTAGAGCCAAATG